GATGTAATTACTTACAATTGTGCAAATCAATGGTAGACAAAAACAGAACATAAGTGTATAAGTAAATAAAATAAGTTTTTATACTTTAAACAAGATAATCATATATCCAACGAGGTTGGAGGTAGCGATGCCGGTGGCACTGAACTTTTTGCGTCAGGTAACGTTAGTATGGATCAGTGTTAATTGTTCTAATAGTCTTATGCTGTCATATGATCCTAAATCCCTACAGCTCAAACAGTCATTTCTAAAAGAAAAAATATATATAAATATATATTTTACCAGTTCCCAGAGCCGACGATGCAAACTCTTTTTGGACTTGACATTGCGATGTAAATCTTCACCGAATCCTTCGCTGAATTACAATCACTCTGATCTGTCAATCAAACCCCGCGCAGTGAGCGCACACTTGAGTGTTGTCAGTGAAGCCACGCCCCCGGACGCTATTGGCCAGTCAGAGGTAGAAAACTCCGTTGACTCCGCCTATTATTAACTGGTGGGTGTGATTACGGAATCTCAAAGCAAGTGATTCATTTTGATGTTAAAGGGTCATATGATGCTGCTAAAAAGAACATCAGGAAACAGTCCTCCGTAAAATGTGCTGCACACATCTGAATATTTGGGTTGAAGTGTTCTGGAACAGTGTTGTAAATACAACTTAACCACTGATTTCTAGTCGTGTCCTTCCAAAAGAGCCGGCGGCTTGAGTGAGCGAATATGAACGCTTTAAAAAGAGCAGGGGTGAGTAACTTAGCCTACTTCATTACTAAAGCTTTACTTTTACAATAATTATATATGTGCGAGTAAAAAGTTGAGTGTCAATAAATACAGTAGGCTATGTACATGACAAGTTTTCATAATCATTCATAATATTATGCACTGACACTTTAGTCTCAGTCAGACATAATGACACAAAGCTAAACTGTAACTTGACACTCAGCAAAACAACTCATTGTTAGAGTACAATTCTAGATTTGTCTACTAGCTTAAGGACCAACTGTAAAGCTTATAATTTTAACATGAGCAATCAAAAAGTTCTAAAGTGGGATGGGAAGTAGGCTATGAAGTAGACACGCAAACCTGTCACGAACGGGAACTGTGATACATTGTAATGGTCCTACAAATATGCTTTATGCAAAATGTAATTTCGTTTTTCTTTTTAATCTTTTGACATTTTTGTGAGATTCAGCCACACATGGAAGTAAAAGATCAACTGATTCATCAGAATAGGAATTTAACAAAGGAACTGAGTAGCTTAAGATAGCAAAATGCCCTTTGAACAATGGAATCCTCTGTTAAGGAATAAATGGAATACCAGAACAGTTCTCAGGGGTGAAAGGTCACAGTTCCATGGGAGAAATGATAGGAATTCCTCAATTCAAAAAGAGCTTATGGATTTTTTTTTTGGAGAGTTAAAACCTTTGAGTTATTTTAGGATTATTTATTTAGTATTCATTAATATTTTGAATTGTTTTTATATAACAATTCAAAATATTAATTAACTTTTATTTTATATGTTTTATTTTTCATTTCAATTTTAGTTTAAGTTTTAGAAAATGTTGAAATTTTTGTTTAGTTTTAATTTATTTCAGTTTTAGTCATTTTAATACTTAAACTTATTTCAGTTAGTTGCCAAGGCAACATTACTCATTTTTAATTTTTAATCCAATATTTATATCTTATTTTATTTCAGAAAACGATTTTTAGTCGTTTTAGTTATCAATAGCAACATTGCTTTGCACAACATTACATCTTAAGTTGTACAGACACACACACACAGAAATATTCCAGGCAGGCAGGTAAACAGGACAATCATTTTATGCATGTTTATTCATTTAAAAAAATCATATTTTATTACACCCACATGATAAACATCTAAATAATACAGAAATGTATCAAAGTTTGATTTATATAT